AAATAGAAAAGAATAGAAGTTGAGAGTTCCAATAATAAAATGCATTTTCCAGCCTTGTCTCTCAACAGATTCACTGTGATAAGTTACAGTATGCATTTTTGTATTCGACGATAAAGAAGAGTTCTGTATAGTAGTTCAGTATAAGCGTTTACATAAACAAGAAAAGAAAGGTGAAGGTAAAGCAGAAAGACGTACAGTGCGAGAAATTAGATTTTCTCTTAAAAGTGAAGACAGCTTTTCTTTAGCTTTGCTTTGTTTTCCTGTCTTTTTGCTTTGCTTCTGAGTTTTCTTTCATATCATTCATACAACTTTCTCTCCTTTTCTTGTTTCTTTTCTTCTCCATTGTAATTACTATTGCACCCCATTTACCCCACAAAAACTCAAACTCACAAAATCAGTAGAATTACTATTACTTAACATTCTTTCTTGTTTTTCGATCGGATCTGAAAAAGAAGCCAGAAAAACAATACAGGAAAAAGCAGTAACAGAGCAAAGATTGTTTCACTTTTCGAGCCAAGTTCTTGAAAGGGTCTCTGTTTCGCTCTAGCTTTTGTTGAGTCTCAACAATTATGAAAGATTAATTCACTGTCCTCAGTTCTTTAATCAGGTAATTATCAAGAACCCGTTATTTTCTGTTATTTGTATTTTTTTAGTTCTTTTGGAAAAAGCAAAAAAGGAAAGTGCTGAACCATGCAAGATTTCCTAAAGTTTTTGGTGAATGTTCTTTCCTGGATTTTGGATGTAACATTGAATTTTCGTGTAACTTAATTAGTATTTTAATTTCTGTTGTGAAAGATGTTTGATTTCTGCTGTAATGCAATTGGGCAGTTAAAATTTTAACTTCTCTTTGATTTTAATTAAAGCATTGATCCGCTCTTAGATTTCTATTAATAGGAATGAAATGGACCCGAATAGAGTGTAATAATTAAAGTGTGTTCATACAAATGCAGCCAATTCCAACTAGTTTTATATTGAGACCTAGTTGATTGATTTGTTAATTATAAGTTAAGTAGCTTTTTCTTGTTAATGGGAAACTGTGAATGATATTGTACCTCTTATTTCTCTGCCAAAGATTCCTTCCGATTTGTTTAAGGATTTAGTGCTGCATTTTGGGATCATAGAATCAATTTCAGATTTATTATATAAAAGAAAAAAACTTTGTTCAAAATGGCTTATTTTGTATCATAGAGTAAGTATGAGGTAATAATCTCATTTTTTGATTGTACAATGGCAGTGTCTAGGCCAAAGAGCAGAATGGAGTCACTTGTTGAAGGAGTCAGTTCTTTGCCAAACAGTCATACTTCCTTCACTCCTATTAAGGGTAACGCGTCTTCAGCTTCCCGGATTAGTCGTCCTCCCCATCCTACATCAATGAGACAATCTAGATGTAAAGAGTTGTCTTTCGATCCGATAGCTATTGACTTTGGGTCGAAGACAATTGATACCCCAACAGGGTCGGGGACTGCTTCTAAGTGTTCATATAAAACATCCAGTAATCGTGTAAAGAGGGATAATATCTCTGGCTCGATGAGACGCTATTCTGAATTGACTAAAGAAAAAGAGGACATAGAAGATACTCTTGATCAACAATCACAAAAATGTTCACTTGATCGGGTTTTAATCTTTGAAGCCAAATCAGCTTTCAAGGATTCACTTCATGATAACAAGAACACTACTTCAAGTGGCTTTGTGGAGCGCAAGGATTTTATGTTACATGCTGTCGGCAGAGGAGATGCTGACCTTTTAACATCTCAATCTGGAATAAACTATTGTCCTAGTCCTCAAAACAGCTTTTACACTGCAACACAATACATAGAAGCCAAACAAAGTTTCACCACTACAGAAGTCATCAGCGAATGCGCTAGCAGCATGGCCAAGTCTGGTGAAAGCGGTGATGTTAGCAACTCGTGCGACATCAGTGAGAGCAGAAAAACAAGCTTCTATAGAGGCAGCACAGGTAGTGATATCAGTGACGAGAGCAGTTGTACTAGTTTCAGCAGCGCAATATATAAACCACATCAGGCAAATGATACAAAGTGGGATGCAATTCAAGCCATTAGATCTCTTGATGGAACACTGGGGTTCAACCACTTCAGACTTCTGAAGAGATTGGGAGGTGGAGACATCGGAAATGTTTTCCTAGCACAGTTGATTGGAACAAGAGATTTCTTTGCCATGAAAGTGATGGACAAAGCAGCTCTAGAGAGTCGTAAGAAAATTGTTAGAGCTCAGACAGAAAGAGAGATACTACAGTCTCTGGATCATCCTTTTCTACCAACACTCTATTCACACTTTGAAACCGACAAATTTTCCTGCTTGGTGATGGAATTCTGCCCTGGCGGAGATTTGCATGCACTTCGGCAAAGACAACCAGGAAAGTTTTTCCCTGAGCATGCTGCCAGGTTAGGCTAGTTTCTTATTGATGCATTTTTGTTGATGTTGTAGCTATTTTACTCTGAATCTCCATTCAGCTGGAAGCGCTTTTTTTGTCCATGTATCTGTATATTCAGGACTTCGGATCTGATGATCAGGTTTCATGGTCAATATGTTTAGTTTCTTGCTCCAATTGTAGTGATCAAACTACAATACATTAACTTCCTTTATCATTTTTGATTGGTTTTGGAAATGTTAACATCTCTCTTTATCGGAACCTGCATCATTACCATGATTTAAGGGTCCCAAGATACGTTGTTAAATTGGAATTCCTTTTCCTAGACCTATGGCATAAGGGAGATCCTGCATAAATAGTAGTTAGGTTAAAATATTATTTTCTGTCCATATCATGCACAAAATCACAAGGACGCCTGTCCATCTTGATAATGATTTTAACTTGCACTTGTTATCTTCTGTTTTGGAGTATAGGTTCTATGTAGCAGAAGTTCTCCTTGCTCTAGAGTATCTGCACATGCTTGGAATCATTTATAGAGACCTTAAACCAGAGAACGTTTTGGTTCGAGAAGATGGTCATATAATGCTATCTGACTTTGACCTCTCCTTGAGGTGTGCCACAAGTCCAACTTTGGTTAAATCCTCAAATTCAAGTTTAGAGTCGAAGACTTCATCATACTGTGTCCAGCCTGCTTGTATTGAGCCATCTTGTATCATCCAGCCTGCATGTTTTTCACCGCGTTTCTTAAGCAGGCCCAAGAAAGGAAAGAACACGAAACAGAAAACCGAGATGCACAATCAAGTGAGCCCCCTGCCAGAGCTCCTTGCTGAACCAACAAATGCTCGATCCATGTCTTTCGTGGGGACACATGAGTACCTTGCTCCAGAAATCATTAAAGGCGAGGGACATGGTAGTGCCGTTGATTGGTGGACATTTGGGATCTTTCTCTATGAGCTCTTGTTCGGGCAGACACCTTTTAAAGGAGCAGGCAACAGAGCCACCTTGTTTAATGTTGTTGGCCAGCCCCTGAGATTCCCTTCATCACCTAGTGTTAGCTTTGCTGCAAGGGACTTGATAAGAGGTTTACTTGTGAAAGAGCCACAGCATCGCCTTGCATATAGGCGGGGTGCTACAGAAATAAAACAACACCCTTTCTTTCAGAGCGTGAATTGGGCACTTATCCGATGTGCTAGTCCTCCTGATGTACCAAAGCCGTTCGTGCTACATGATGTCCCCAGCACACCAGCAACAAAGGTGCCAGGCGCTGATAATTATTTTGAGATTGATTTCTTCTGAGTAAACTTGTTTCCTTAGCAGTTAAGTCCATGCCCGCTTATAGCAAGAACACCGATTTGTTGTTACCTTTTATATGAAAATGTAAAGTGCAATAGTGCATACTCTCCTGAAAAACAAATGCATAGGAATTGGATATTTGAAGGTCACTTTTCTAGTATCTTCTTTATTTGTCAATGTTTATGCTTGCAGCTATTTGTTGTCCTCTTCTCTGGATTATATAAATCTTAATCTTTGACGATCGCTTTTCACCATCACTCTATCCACAACCACCACCTCCGCGATCACAACCACCACCACCGTGTCAACTGCCACTGCGTCAACCATCACAATCACCACCTCTAGTCACTACCACATCAATCCACCTCCACCATTACAACTATCACCACTGCCAACCAGTCAACTACCACCAAAGCTACACAATTTTGTTACAATTAACACAACTGGAAGAAAAGCGCGCAACTTTCTTGTACTACAAGTATTTTAAACTCATTTATACTAAACTATAGTATAGTCAATTTTCAGGATTTCAAATTGTCCTCAACGTATACAAGTGAAAATATTCTCTCCATTAAGCAGAGTTTTGTGTAAACCTGAACTAGAATTTATCAACTGGTTTTCTTAGTCAAATGTATTCCTTTCTATTTCTATCCACACCCACCATTCAGAGTTAGAAAAGTTGGTAGCTGGAATATGGCCTAATGCCCACAACACGCACCTTAAATTTTTGTCTGTAGTCCTTCTGATTGACCCTTTACTCTCAATAGCACTAGGCTAGCCATTTTTTACGAGCGAAGAAGTAAAGCGGTCAAGATTAAAATCACAATGTCACAAGTTTGAATCTTAAGTTTAATAATTTTCTCTATGCTTTATAATTAGTTAATTGTCGGTAAGATTATTTTTCTAGTGTTTCATTTCTTGAATTGTTTAAAATATTTTTCTTAAAGAAAGTATTTCGACAAAACATGAGTTATCACTTATGGGCGGAAGTCATTTTTTTGTGTGCAATATTTCAACTTTTATGAAATATCACTTATTTCAATCAATACCTAAACCTTGTCGTCAACTGTTAACACTAAAAATAACAGAGTACCTGTATCCCTATATCAATCATCCATATTTTACCACTAACATATGTCACATACATTTATACTTAATTATAAAATGTCAACGATTATCATTCCTCCACGCAAGAAACTGAAATACAGGTAAACTGTTCATTTTCTCCCCCATGGCCCACTTCCGTCATATGTCCAAATTCCAAAATTTCTCCAATTAGTCCAAAAAGGAAAATTGTCCTTTTGAGTTCAGCAATCGACCTAAGACATTACTTGTCAAACCATTCCTACTATTTAATCCGTGGCTCGTTCTCTCCACGTTCCCATTTTACTTTCTCTACTCTCCAGCAATCTCTCTCTTTCTCGCTTCTTTCGAAAATGGCCGGGAACTCGGAGGACATCGTCAGTGACGACGTTAACTTCGGGTTCAAACGTTCGGAGATGTACGAACTTAAACTCTCCGGCACTGCTACTGTTTACGATCGTCACGTTTTCCTTTGTTACAAATCACATGAAACTTGGCCTTCTCACGTTGAATCCTCCGACTCCGATCCACTTCCGAAGCTTCTCGCTGCTACTCTTAAAGCTCGTAAGGATGAAATCAAGCTTAAGGTTAGTTATTTTCAACTGATTAGTTAAGTCAACGGCGTTACATTGAACTTCATTTCTATTGATTTTAGTTTCTGATTTGAAATTAGCAATCGGTTCTTTTTGGATCTACTATAGATAATATATTTAATATTTTTGATATACTATGGATAACATTAATGAAGTTTATAAGTTTTTGAATGTTTATATAAAAGGATTAAATTTATATATACTAACGGTATAAATGATTTTTCACACTATCATGTGTTGTTTAACCACCTTAGTTACCTTTTATCAGGTTACTAATTAATATTTATTGTAGAGATTTACCTGTCACTACCTTGTAGTGACCTAATTGTGTAAATAACTTTCACACTGTGGGTGCACAAAATTTAAACTCTATATAAAATAATGAAAAATCTCGTCATCTAATTGCAAGAACTTTATCGAAATGTTCAAAATTTTATACGAAGTTAATAAGAATTGTAGCTTGTCTATTAGAATGCAATTAGTGGGTTTAAGTTATTAGCCTCTCAAATGTGTGGTGGATAAATTTAGTACACAATATAAGAATTCTAGTTCGGTCAATTAGAATGCATTAATAGTTTTATGATGTTAGCTTAGCAAGTGTGAAATTGAGTTTAATGCGTTTTTGGCTCGGTGATTATTTGTGGTAGACTGTTTTGACGATTTGCGAAGTACGCGAAGACATTGGACTATCTGATGGAGATGTTCTGATTTTTCCTGAAATGATCAAATACAGGTAGTTTTCGACAATCTTCTATGATTTTTTACTTTTATTTTGTTATTATTTTTATATCATTGTATTAGGCTGCGAAAAATTCGTCCTCCTTTAGTATTCTGTGTGTAGTAGTGATGAAATACATAACTAGGCTATCTGGAAACAAGACAAAAGAAATAAACATGGTGAATTTGACTTTATTCTTTTTTTCTTCTTCACAACCTTATGAAATTGACCAACATTTAAAAATGGAACTTTCTCATATCAGAATTTTTAGGAGTAGTATTTTTCGACTAGTTTCTGAATGTCCAAATTTTAATTCAAACATAAATGAATTGATCTAGTTTGATTTAATTAGAAAAAGTTAGTCAAATTGACTCTCAGTTAGCTAAAAGTGATAAAAAAAATTAGGACTAAGGGTGTATTTTTAAATTTTCCTCTTGATTTTGTTGCAAAGTATTTGACCTAGCCATTGTATGCATCTCCAAGCATTATCGTACCTTGAGCTTGAGTTTGTGTCTGGTTCTTTTAATCAAGGAATTTGAAGGAGTCAGATGTTGAAGCTTTTGTTGAGGATGTGCTTGTGAATGGCAAGCCCTGGACTTCTGGACTGCAGGAGCCACTAAGTGGTTCTTATGTATTTGTCTGTTCCCACAATAATCGAGATCGAAGGTGTGGTGTCTGTGGACCAATTCTGATTGAGGAATTTAGCAAATTGATTGATTCCAAGGACTTGAAAAACGAAGTTCATGTGACAGCTTGTTCCCATGTTGGTGGCCACAAGTATGCTGGTAATGTGATAATCTTCAGTGCAGATAAAGAAGGGAAAATTGCTGGGAATTGGTAAGACCTAGTTTTGTACTTATCGAGGTGCTCTTTTAGTTTCCATTAGTTTCTTGACCAATTCCTTAGTATGTGGCTTTTTAAATGGATCAAAGTGGAGAAGATCCTTGTTAGACTGTCCGTTATACATATATATGTGATCTGTTGTCATAATGCAGGTATGGCTATGTTACCCCAAGTGATGTACCTATTTTGCTTGACGAGCAGATCAGAGAGGGGAAAGTCATTGAAAGACTTTGGAGGTTTGTATTCGTTGTGCTATACTTTGTTTCTCATATGCATGATTTGGGGTTTGCTTTATACATAATACATGGTCCAAATTCTTCATTTAGCTTTGAGAAAATCCCGTAGAGGGCTGGTTCCGGATTATCTTTTTGCAGTTTCCGTAACAAGCCCAGTCACCATAACTTCTAAGTAAACTTTACCTTAGCCAAGCTCGATTACCTTATTTGCACCATGCCTCCACCATGATTCCAACGTAAACTTTAACTTAGCCAAGCTCAACTGCCTTGTTTGCACCATGCCTCCACCAATATTTCTATAATGTAAACGTTAATTTAGCCAAGCTCGATTACTTTATTTGCACCATGCCTCCACCAATATATTTCTGTCTGTCTACATCACACTCTTGGGGTGAGGGCCTTCCCCGGACCCTGCATGAATGCGGGATGCTTTGTGCACCACGTTGTCCTTTATTTCTCCAAAATCAAGAATAGCTCAATCACTGGCATCATTATTAGATATTGTGTGAGTGATTATAAGGTAATGCTGTATGATTGCCTCATTTTCTCATGTTGATTTTTTTTGCATAAAAGGTAATCATAATAAAATTTAGTCCATTTGTTTTTTCATGCTTGATCATGAGCTTTGCTCTTATGAAGCTTTAATGTTTGCATGTTAACTAATAATCTTAAGTAAAATTAAGTAAAGAGTGGTGGCAGATGATGGATCTTTTGCTCTTGGTATTTGGATCTATCTTCTTTTCTCTGTTGCTTTTTTGCTGGGAGCTGGATGCTATTCTCAGCATTCATTTTAGATGGGCATGTATGTGTATGTGAAGGGTTTGAAAAAGTTAGATTAATTTTGCTGACTAGTTACGGAATAAAGTGCAAGAGGTAATGCCTTTCCAATTACAGAACAGGGAATTTCTCACATTCTAAACTTCTAATTTGAACTCTCTAAGTTTCGGTTGGAGGCAATCTCTTTAGCAGTTGCAAAGTTAAAATTGTTTTGCTCTTTTTCTCATTTTTTTGTGAATACAGTCTGAAACACTTTATCCTGGTTAACTATAGGGGCCAAATGGGACTGCCTGCTGAGATAACTGATAAGGTGAATGAGCAGAGGGTTCCCAATGGAACCAATGTGGACGAAAAAGGACAAGCCCCTGTAGAAAATGCTAGTCAGGGCTGTTGCCAAGGAACTGTAGGTTTTTCTTGTTGTAGAGATGCAAGTACTGAGGTGAAAGAGGGAAAGAAGGGGCAGGGAAGACTTTCATGCTGGTCAGGAAAATGGGATCGGCCTGAAGTGTTCACAGCCATTGGCGTGGTCGGAGCAGTGGCTTTTGTTGCTGTTGCTTATGGATTTTACAAGAGGTCACACTGATATGCTGTCACGAAGAGATTCCAAACATTGTCTTTTTTAGAGAATAATGATGTAACTCTAAACCCTGACATTTGCTACGTGTTACGTGTGAATTTTTCTGAAGGAGAAGAAGTAAATGCAGAATATGTCCGACTATATGGAGATGATGTCCTCTTGTTCTCTTCAAGTGAGCACCCTAAGGGCCTCTTAGTTACACAGCTCTAACTAGTTACTACAGATACCTGCAAGTTTTGTCTACACTCTACAGAGATGATTAAAATTCCAGGTCTGGAGGTCTTGCTTCCTGGCTGTTTTGGTTAAAGGTGAATAAGGTTTTCGATAGGCTATTGGGCTTGTCGGAATTACCTTGTTTATTGTTGTGTTGGTATTTCATTTGTTGTCTGGGGATATTGGATGACTTGTTGAAATTTTTTGTGGAAGTTGATTTTTGCTTTTGGACATAAATTTCACTGTATGACACACCAGTCATTTGTAGCA